TAATGTGACAGCTTGAATGAAGTAGTTTTTTTAGTGAGGTTTTTTTTGCTAGAATTCTCGTTCGATTATTCCTAGCTTAAGTGTGTATTTTTTTTCTATACCTCATTCAAACTCCCACGCATTTTTTTCCCGTTTCAAATAATTTCATTGTTGTATTTCGTTGGAATCAAAGCTGTTTCCTATTTTTGGGAGTCAATCATGGGACAAATGCTCTCATCTAACGGGAGAATGCATAAAAAATGAGAAGCAAAAAATAGATGCAGAACGGCTTTAAAACAAACACGAGAGAAGAGAGAGAAAAAAAATTGAGATCGATTAACCTTTTTCTGGTTCCGCCGGAGTCGTCCTCATTCATGCATTTTTTTCTCTTTGTTTCGTGCGTGTGTCTTGCTGCCGTTGTTTTCTTCTTCTTACTTCGTTGCTTTCCCTCGAAATTTTTATGAATGAATTTGCTTGCGCAATAGTAAAACGAAATGTTTGTGTGCAGACGTGTACAAAGTACAAATGAATACAACACAAAAAGCATAAGAACGATCGTACAGAACGAGAAAAAAAAACACACATATACACACATTTCATTGTGATATTTGCTTCGTTCTCATATGTATAATGTATCAAAAACGGTAAGCATTTCCTTCCGGAGTTGAGAAAATAAAGAAATACAAAATGCAAAGAAAACAAAAAACACACAACAAAATAAATGAGGAAACGAAAAAATACCACATACAGCACGCACGGGCACACCACACCGAGTAGTGTTCAATGCAGTACAGCACGGCGCAGTAACATTAGCAAAAGCAACGGCAGCAATAATGACGACGACGACGGCGACGACAGCGACGACGATGATGGCAATGTGTGAGCCGCACTTAAAATTTCTGACTTAATTGTATTTATCGAACAATACCAAAGTTGATTAGGCACACAACCAATAAATACTCCTCTGCCGTATAACTATGTATAGCATAAGGTCTTTATCTCGCCCGGCCATTTTCGGTGTCGGTATTGTTTTGTTTTGGATTGGATTTTGTGGAGTGTCGGCCAACGCCAAATTTTTTTTTTCTCTTGCTCTTCTCTTCAATTCATCTGGTTAAATGCATTTATAAACAAAAAATCCAGATTTCCACCTCTTTTGCCTCCTCCAACATCCTCCTCATCATCCAACATCTTCTGGAACTGAACTTCGAACATTTATTTATACACAACGTCAACGAATGATCGCACTTGAGCGGAGGAAGTGGAAGCTCTCGTATTATATTTTCTTGACCGTCGTCATCACCATCATCAGAATGATGATCGTTACTGTGTGCTCTCTCTCTCTCTCTCTCTCTCTCTCTCTCTCTCTCTCTCTCTCTCTCTCTCTCTCTCTCTCTCTCTGTGTGTGTGTGTGTGTGTGTGTACACTGTGCACATATCGGAGTTTCAGAGAGCATTTCCTTCCGCCAAAAGTTCAAACCAACTGCACGTTCACATGCATTTGTTTATTGAATCATTTGTGGTTTTTGAACACTCTCTTTTCGATTATATATATATTGTTTTTTTCTTCCTCTTCTCCGTTGCAACCGTCGAAAAACAAACAGATGCTGACCATTTTTCTGTTTGATGGAGATTTTTTTAAGTTGCACAACAGTTGGTAGAATGTTTTACATTTTGTCGCAGAAAACAAAAAAAAACGAAGAATAAATTAAAAGAAAAGCATCAAACCGATCGATGTGGTTTACGAAAATTGGTGTTTCATTACATTGCGACGCAGCAATGGGAAATTCATATTATTTGACTGCTATTGCAGCGGCTCAGTCTCTTGCTCGTAGTAAATGCATTTCGATAAATAAAAAAATAGTGTCGTCGTTGTCGTCGTTCCACCCACGCTATTTACGCTTAAGTGTATATGACTTTTTGCTGTGGTTGTTGCTGTTTTTGTAGTAATGCTCACTTCCAAATGAGCACCCGCACGCTCATTTTCATTTCAAGAATGATCACATATTGTAAACAATAGACACACACAAATGGATTAAAGCATTTGCACACGAAAAATTCCATGAAAAGTAATACATTCGAAATAGATTTTTTTTCTCTGTCTCTCTCGCTCCGTCAATATTTTGTTCGCCCTGTTGTTTGAGCTGATTGCATATTATGTCTATGTTTCTCTCTCACACTCTTTCTATCTCGCATCTTTTGCTCGTCTCTTTTTCCATTGTGTTGAAATTTATCACGACAAACGATTTCGGAGCGTAAATTTTCGTATATTCACCAAGTCTGAATTTTGCGTATATAAATCAGCCGAGACGCGGCCATCAATTTTCATAAAACCAATTATTAACCGAGAATTTGTGTATCTTTAAGGCATATTTTGGATCAGGCCGCCTTTCAACATCCATAAATACCAACGAAAACATTTTCGAATATATCGATTCTGGGATTGTATGCAAAATTTACTCACTCAAACCGCTCAATGTACACATAACGCATTTATTTATTATGATAGGCCGCGTAAGTGTTATCGACCAGGACCTTCATGCAAGTCCATCATTCATCAATTTTGGTACTGTGGGCCGCGCTCTCACTGCATCGAATCGACAGGGATGCTTCGATCAATAGCAACCACAAACAAACAACAACAACGATTGTTTGTGAATTCGAGCTTTGTGCCACATTTCCACATTTGAAAAAGAAAACGCCGTAGGATTGGCGGGCGTATATAGAAATGATAATAAATTGCATTTGTTAACGATTACTAAAAGTCATCCGGCCCATTTAATAGGCTTAGATATGGAAACAATAACGAAATACAAGAAAAATACATATATCTCTAATTGATGATCGGCCAAAAGGAAATTGGATCTTATTTATATTTTTATTGCTTTCGTTTCTGTTTGACATGATTGTTTTTCGTTTTTAGTGTAAATAATATTGTGAATGATTAGGTGTAAACGGCGTTTTTTTTGTTGTTGTTATTTGCTGTTCGTTCAATCTCGTAACATGACTTAAATCCACACACAATCAGAAAGTGTATATTGTGGTGGCTAGAAAAGACATCATACTCAATAGAGAGATGGCAGGCGAACAAATGTATACAATCGGATCTATCTATAACCGTTGGCAGTTTTTGTGTAGAATAATAGTCGTCGTAGTCGTTTTTTGAGGCGTCTGTAGGAAGTTGAGGGAGAGAGCGACACAAACAGTTCGATTATTCTATTCATTCTCGTAATATGCGTGTGAATGTGTCTTTTATAGCTTTTTAATTTCTTCCTATTTACGGTCAAGATTAATAAAATGCTTTCTTTCGGCTTTTTGTGAGTATGATTCGTTCTTTTTTTTGTGAATGGATATCCACGAAAACAATGGTACAGACAAAACGGAATGAACGCATACGCACTAGTGCATATTTGGAACTTAAATATCGCCACTGAGCAAATGAAGAAAGAAAAAAACGAAGCTAACTGAGTGAGTTATATGCGGGAAAGAATACACCAACAAAACGTTGTTTTGTTGTTGGTATTAACCATTTCGGGTGATATTAAGACATGCGAACCATTTCATTCATGAAAACACATGCCGTATAGACACACATAGAACTGAATTTCCTTCCGGCTTTAAAATTACTTTATTTAGCGTACAATCGTTTTCTTTTCCTCTTGGTTTCTTTTTTTTTTGTTCTTTCTTCTATTGAATTTGGTTCGGATGAGCGTGGCAAGAAAATGAACCCAAACCGGAACTAAAAATTAGAATGAGCATGTACAGTTGAGGGAAGAAGAACATATGTTATATTTCAAAAGCCAAATATAAAAGATGAATCGCATCGGTATTAAATGTGAAAAAGAACGAAAGAAAAAGAAACGAGAACGGAACTGAAAATGTTCACATTTCGTCACAAGACAGCTCACACACACACACACACACACCGTGTAGAGAACAGACACAAGAGAACCATCGCACAACGGCAACGATGGGAAGTGTTGAGCGTAATTGCTGTGTGGGGCATGTACGCTTTGCTTTGCATGTGGAAACAAATTACAAATGCTAAAAACTCTCCGAGAAGCCGACACAAACCAAACAAACGGCATTCGGAAATGCCGAAACGAAGAAGCACAATTTCGGATGAAAACAGAGATTAACGTGATTAACTTAAATGATATTTGCAACATAAACAGAAGGATCCGTAAATTTATCGGCAATTGCCGCTTTCGGCTATCATTACAATTACGGGACCACAAAAAAAGTATCACGCATCCAACGCCATTCAATGCCATTGTTCGGCCTATTAAAATGCCCATATTTAGGAAATCCGATTATTTACGTTTTTGTTTTTTTGTTGTTATTTTCATCTTTTTCTTCCTTTTTTTCTATGGGTTTTCATTTTACGACGTATGCGTTGAAACAAAATCATGGATTGGATCACTGACAGTGTGAGTAATTTGGGATTAGCTATAGAACGACACAAAATTAAAACTGTCTCATTATTATTGGTGTTTCCTTTAGCTGATTTCCTCGCATATCCTGTTTCACATCAAATGATTATTTACGTTGTTTATTCGCATTGAATCGGCAAATCGGTTCTACTTGTAAATCTGCCGTTTTGAACGAACAACAAAATAAAACGGATTTCTTGCATTTGTCCGTTGGTGCGTATTCTCGATTTCCATTTCTTTGTTTCGTTAAATCAGCTTAAATGATTGGCCCAGAAGTAGATTAACGACTTGCAGGTCGTTTTTTTTATCTTCTACTTCGTCTTCTTGTTAATGCAATAACATCCCTGTTTTTCTCTTTTAAATTTAGTTCATCATCTTATACATTTAGCTTGAGCACATTACATCGAACTGTGTAATCGTCATGGACATCATCATTAAGATCATGTCCAAAACGATATATACATTGATTTCGAGTCTTTATTTCTTTCTTCAGCAAATGCAAAAAGAGATAAATTGTGACATTTTAATGGTGAATAACGAAAATGAGTCGGTAAGACTCTTTTCTTGTGAAATAAAAAGAAACAATCGTTACCTCTTTGCTGGGCACACAGATGGGTGTACCTTCTTTGACGATGCCACTCTCGACCATAACGCCCATCACAATCGGATCTCGTGAGTTGAATATGAATTGAGGTAAAATCTGCAATGCAAATAAATTGATTGATTATTATTATTTTTCTCTCGCGCTCTCAGTCTTCTTGTCTATTTCATACACTTCTTAAAAAATGAAATCGTACGCAAAATTTCACGTCCGGCATTCCATTCGATTTCCTTTTTGTAGCCGACTTTTGTGAAATTGCTTGTTTGTTGTAATGTATTTTTTTTACTCAGTCTTGCGTTGTATTTGTGTCGCGCTTGACGCACTTCACATTGTGGAAAATGGTGTGTGTGTGTGTGTGCCGTGTTCGTGTCGCGTTGGCCAAAATATGGTGAATAGACGTACATTCAAAATAGACACTCACCTTTAATTTGCATGGGAAAACAGCAATGGTTTTGAATTCTTCGCGTTTCTTTGCCTTCAATTCTTCTCGATACGCCGTGAATTTATCGAATAAATGATAAATAATATCCGCTTGGAAAATTTTAACGCCAACTGAATCAGCCAACTCTTGAGCATCACGTTCAACTTTTACATCGAATGCCAAAATGGTTGCGTACCTAAACAGAATACAAATGATTTTAATTTGAAAACCGTAGAATAAGCACCCGCACAAAATCACAATTACGATGTATAACTCAATTCATATTAATAGATCGACATAGAGAGAGAGACAGACAGACAGAGAGAGAGAGAGAGAGAGAGAGAGAGAGAGAGAGAGGAGGGAGGAAGGGAGGTAGACAGACATGCACAGAGGATAGCACCGCAACAGAACAATAAAAAAGATACAGAATGAAAAAATGAAATAAAAGCGCGACAGCCCATCGCGTTTTTAGCCGCATTTCAATTATTATTATTGCAGCGTAACTGTAAAAACCACTCTATCCATTCGATTTCGAATAAATCTCATTGTGTATGGACAATGATACCGGGAAATATTAAAAAAGAGAGACACAGAGAAAAAAAATATAACGACAACGACGATGAATATAATTGTTGATGTGTACAATGTTTTAAATGTCCACATCTCACTCTCTCTCTCTCTCTCTCTCTCTCTCTCTCTCTTTCTCTCTCGCTCGAATCGAAATGAAATTTCATAATTGAATCGAAATGACGAAACGGAAAATCGGGGCATACAAATGAACTCTTCATTGTGAAGAGTCAATAAACCCATGAGGTTTCTTTTTACATTCTGAAGAAAGAAAGAAAAAAAAGATTTACGATTCAGCAAAAGAATTACAAAAGGTATATATTAATCATATGCATTCTTGTTGGATTATTTTATTTTATTTTATTTTCATATTCTTTTTTCTCTCTCTTGTTCGTTCATTTGGTTGCGTTCTCTTGCCCTTTCTCTCGCTCGCTCACTCTCTCAGTCTCGCCCATGGTTGTTGGCTTTGGTGGTTTGGCGGACTAGTGCAACTTCGGTGCTGAATGAAAGTGAGGAGAGAAGAGAGTTGAGCAGCTCAGAGCAGCGACACGAAGAGCTAGCAGCAAAAATACCTCAAAGAAAAGGCAACAAGACGAGAACACAAGAAGACAGAGAAGAAAAAAAAATGAAAGAAAAATGTACGTGGTTGCTTTTTTTTCGTATTTTTATTCAAAAATGCAAACATATTAAAATTAACTTCCTTTATAAATTTACGAGTTTGTGCTATGCACGCCGATATACCTTTTTTTTAACATCCGTTCTGATTTTAATGTTTTGAAATTGTTTGTATTTGTGATTTTTTTCCTTCGTTCGTTCGTTCGTGCTTCTACATTGGATTTGTTGAACATCGGCGAACAACGATGGTGCGTTGTTACTGCTGTTGCTACTTCTTTATGTTTATTGTATATATTTTTTTCTCGATTCGCTTTTTTTGTTATTCAGCGCATATGAATGGTGGATACAATGTGCATACGTGGTAAGAATTTGATGTGTTGATAATAATTAAAATGTGCCGATTTCAAATTTCAATTCATTGCGTCGATGCCGTTTTTTGTTTGTTTGTTTGTGTAACCGTCGTTTTTTTTTTCATCGCCTTTGTCGCGCTAAGTGTTTGATTTTAATATGCGTTTGTCAGATTGAATAAATAATTTTTTTTCGGGCAGGAACGAACGAATGAGCGGGAGCTTGCGCGCCCGCACGCATGCTTACTCGATACGTACAGAGGAAGAATGCGACAGCACCAATGACGCTGATCGTTTCGATTTACAATGTGATATCCAATGGTACCGGTAAAATCGGACACTCGTTTTTGTTTTGTTTTCGTGCACGTTAAAGTGTACGTTCATTGAGTCACATTTGAATCGGGAATCAGAACGAATTTCACGATTTACCACTTTTGTTGCGTTCACGATTCGATCAAGTGATTGAATTTGAAATTTCATTCAAACCACTCGACGCGCTTTTTTTGCAGACGACGAAATGAGAAGGAAAAAAAATTGGCAGTTGGTTACAATAATTTTGTGCAATCAAAAACAAATGAAAATGTAAAAGCTGCACGCTGAAATTATTTTGCGTGCCTGGAAATTATCTTATGTAATGACACACAAGCTTTGATACGATATGATTGCTGCTCTTTTTTTCCTTCTCTCTTTGGTTCGTGTTTCGATTTCAGCTTAGCAACTGCAATCGACCATGAATAATGCGTCGATAATAAGCGTCGAGTGGACAAGAGAAGAAAACATCGATTTCAGCAAGAAATGAAGAGAAAAAAACACATTGTACTTACGATGCATCATGCTCAAGCATAATTGACGCCTTCATAACATCTCGTTTCACGACTGGGCCGATTCGGATATTGGAGTACTGCAGAATAAAAGAAAAGTAAGTATTGAAAATAGTGTTAGTTAAACGGTTAGTTGAATGGAAAGGATCAAATGTGCATTATAAATGGAAAAAAGGGAAGACTAAACGTCCTTCGATCAATATCCAAAAGTAGAAAAACCAATTCAAATCAATCGCATTTCAAGCCGATTTGCAATGCTATCCGAGCGCATGGTGAATATTGTTAATGTTTCAAGTTTTTCAATCTCAGTCAACAGCAATTTAACCTCGCCATTTGTGTTGTTGCCGTTGTAAATATTTTATATGAAAAAAAAACATTCATTCGATGTTTTGGTTTCTCACAAGCAATTTATTTATTTTTCATCGCCTTATTTGTCACTTGCCCAGCTTTTGTAAGCAATTTAGCCAACTTATCGGCCTCAATCAAATCGACTCCTACATACTGCACGAAATGAGTGACGTTCAGTTCTTATGTGTGTGTCTCTGTGTGTTTTCTTTCTCTCTCTCCCTCTCTCTCTCTCTCTCTCTCTCTTTCTCTCTTTTTTTTTCTCACCCGTATCGTTTGCTTTTATAAATACTTTGATTTGAGTCAAATGAGAGGAGAGAGAAACAGAAAAAACCACTGAAAATGTGGTAATGATGTGCTCGCATATAAATATGTTTTAAATTATTTAAAATGCATGCAGTTTTGTGTGTGAGTGGATTGCGTTGACCTGCGTTGCGTTTTGAATTTACGTTTGAAATGAATCAAGTCGAATATAAATAGGCGTAGTTGTTTTCATGTGTGTGTGTGCGCGTGTCCGCGCCCGCACTCTCAATTGAACGAGCGACTGATCTCGTAGCTTTCCTCTTCAAACTAAAGCCCCAGCAAACAAATGACAGAAAACGACCAAGAAAAACGTACGTACATACGATCGAGAAAATTCCACTCGTTCACGGAAATTCAAGATAAAATTATGATGATACACATAAAAAGTGAACCAGTGAAAAAGAGAGATGATGCTTATGTCTTTGAGACAAGATGGGCTTGTGTCTTTGGATTTTTCCTTGATTTTGATTTGCCGGCTTAGCGTATTTAGTGCGCCTCTGCGCATTTCAAATGTGCACACATTTGCTCAACTGCACACAGTGCAGTGCTCAGCGGAGAGAAGGAGATAGAGATAGCGTAAAAGTGTTATGTGTGAGCGCACAAAATTGCGAGCGCTCACGCGCAAGCGTACTCAGATGTGCGCCTTTGCTCGTGTACATTCTGATTAATGAATGGCGTTGCCTCTACTAAATATTTATTATTACATTTCTTTACAAAATCTTTTTACGTTTTATTGGCGCAGCGGAAAACAACGAACAAACGAACGAACGAACGAAAAAAAATGAGTTCCAATTGGTGTGGTTATGAGCATTCGCCTCATAATTTATTACATGTAATTACAACTGCAATTTAAAATTCAAATATGGTCGAGAGACCGGCACACACCGCGCAAGCGACACATAGACAACACAACACGTTGTGATATCACGTCGAAAGGAAAGGAATTATCTGAATTCAAGTGGGAAAAATAACGATGAATTTGGTATTCACCTTATTCAATTCACACCTAAATGCTATTTTGTTTGCTTTGTTGGATCTTTCTCATGTATTGAAGAGAGCCAGATAGATAGATGGATTGATAGATATAGGCGCGCAATCGTGTGCTTATGACATGGAGGATGGTGTCAGAAAATAGCAAACGCCAACCGAAACAAAATAATAATAATGAAGAGAAAAAAAAACTAACATTTATTCCATCGACCACAATTTTCGATTCGACTGATGAGTGAGTGAGTGAATGAATGAGTGACAGAGATGGGGCCAGAGAGTGAATTCGCCCAGTGTGTTTGTTCACGCGATGCCCAAAGTAGTCAGATGTTGCTGCTTTAGACGCGCCGTGCACACCATCCGCAATGGCATCACATTCATTTTGCTTTTCATCTCTTCGGTGCCGTCGTTGTTAACGTAAAATTGAATGAATACCACGAAAAACCAACAGCCAACAGATATCAGAGTAAATCGAATGAATGCAGAAAACTCGATCTATACTTTGCATTTGCAAACTGTGTATTGATGTGCGCGCGTGTAATGATGTATGTTTGCCGAACGCAAGCCGGTAGTACGCTATATATCAGTCCAAACTGAACCGCGCTCTGTGTGTAATATGATTTCATTAGCGATACAATGCGGTCCACAACATACAATCAGATCCAGAATTTCGCATAAGTGCAACTGCTGACAATTATTCGCTGTTAACAGAGCTATCTGCAAACTGCAACAACAACGAAAACTGAAAAAAAGCGGCAGAAAAAATCGAGAGAGCTCGCCAAAGAAAAAAAATGGAGCACAAATTTTGTATGTTTGCCTTTTATTATGTATGATTCGACGAAAGAAAACAATGTTATGCATTAATTTGCTTCGCCCATTTATTTTAACTACAGAAATTAAACAAATTCTCTTCTTTCGCAGAGCACACACAATGGCTACGAAAATTGGAAGAAAGAAAAAAAACCGTACACATAACACTCACACAACTCAGTGCGGAGAGAGAGAGCCCCCCATTACGACTCTGTACTGACGAATGCTGAATTCTTGATGAAATATGACCGATATGAAATAAGAAACAATAGTGAGCAACAATGTTTGACAAACACACACACACATGGGAGGAGCGGCGGTAACGACGGGGCGATAGTGGCAAAGAATGAAGCAAAAAAAAAATAATGGTGTATGCACATTTGACTTGAAATAAAATCACAATAATAGAGTGAATGGAAAACATGCAAGGAATTGTAATGCATACTTTAGTCGAAACCAAAGCGTGGCAAATAATTTGAAGCTCGCGAAATCAAAGACTGCGCTGATTTTTTTCCCTTTGATTGTTACATACCATTGCCATTGCCGCAGAATTCGATCACAGCAGAAACAAAACGAAACGAAGAGAAGAGAAAAAAAAATGACAAAAGTGCTCGAAAAGGTTTTCCGGTTTCACATTGGAATTTGTCGTTTTGTTACCATTTTTCCTCCGAAATGCTCATTACCGTGATGATCGAAAATGAAGACGAGCTAAACATAACATATCACACAATCATTATTTTCAACTAGCAAATTGTGTGCTCGAATTCATAACTGTGATAAAAATTCCAGAAAAAAAGCAACAATTAAAAAACCAACCAGCCCACGATGACGATCGGTCGTATACTATATGTGAGTCATATAGGCACACACTTTTCAATGAATGAAAAGTGATATACTATGTTGTTGATTCTTTTTTTTTTGTTCGTTTATGTGATAACATTTAATGCATGACTAAATTTAAATGACGAATTCTCGATAAAGAAAATGAAAATGGTTCTTGCGTCATATCCTCCGTCGAACAACATCAAAATGTGTGGTCGTCGATCGTGTTGTGTGTTGTGAATATTTCGACAGAAAAATAGTAAAAAAAAACAATAACCGAAAATCAGAGGATTTCCGAGCTAAAAAAGACGAAACACACACACACCAATGATACAAACCATCGAACGAACCAAAGAACAAGAAGGAAACGAAAGCGCAGCCGAGATTTCGTCGCGAATGTCATATTCTCTTCTAATCTAAACTCAAAACACGAATGGAATTGACTCTCTGCTGCTATGGTGTGCACGCGCGTATACAGCCGCAGCAACAGCAGCGCAACAAACAAGAGAGACAAAAAATTCCAACGGAAGCCGCTAATAGCCAAGTCAACGGAAATGAATACATAAAGGAAGTGTTGAATTTATCGCTTTTTATGAAGAGACAATAATGGTATCTGTAATGTCATTCGATTATGTATGCGAGCAGTTAAACGAAACACGGCTGTATACTGTTAAATAGACAGCGAGAGCAACACAGTTGACTTTATCATTGCCGAATTGAACACATGAGCGAAATAGTTTTAAAAAAAATCACAAACACACACACACAGACACACACACACACACACACACACACACACACGCCAGTAATCCATACCAAACAACAAACTATTCAGCGATTTTGGTGATGGCATGAGGCGACGAATCGCAGTTCTATCGAAATGCGATATCGAGTTCGTGCAAATCGTATATTTTATGTGTGTGTTTAGATTTTGTGTTTATCGTTTTGCCTATAGAATAATGTCTGTTGTTACTGAAATGGTTTTTTTTTCCTGTCGCGCTCTGCTCGCTCCAAATTATTTTGCATATATTTTTTTGTCGTCGTTGACGTTATCGTTGTATTTGAAGTGAGCGCACGTATCAAATGTTTCTTATTTGACATGAGCACAAGTTGAGTATTGGTTGCCTGTACCTTTACTCGCCGGCCAATTGACCCAAGATGGTTTGGTTCGGGTGCCGGTCTTCCTCTATTGGTTTCCATGTGTGTGTGTGTGTGTGTGTGTGTGTGTGTGTGTGTGTGTGTGTGT